ATCGCAATCGATTTGTTACAAAACTTCTTAGTCAACATTTGTTTCATTGCTTTTCACACTTAAACTGGAAACTGCAATTGAATGTAGAAGGAAGTTTTATCTAAATTTCAGAAATGAAATTAGAACGAGTTTTCATTTATACGTTTAAACAAATATTCAACTTTACCGCACAGGAAAAAAATAACTGAAAACGAAAGGTCGTTTTTTCTTTTCTTAAAGTCAATATTAATTAAAATTCTATGGATAACTCACCAGAAAAGAATAGAAGAAAAATAGATAAGTCATTCAAGTCATTCAAGCACATTTTTTCTACGTTTGATTTGAGTAAATCATTGTTTTTTTATAGTTTATAACTCTAGTCTACCTTTTTACATTCTAACGGATAAATGTTTTGCTAAATATTCTTCGAAGAAATGAGCATCAGTGCCACATTGAGTACTCATGCTTTCACTAGTGTGTAAATCTGCAAAGAAAAATACATATGAGTACTCGTTAAAGTAATCGGAAAGTACCGATTCACACAACATCTCTTTAGCAGTTGCGCCAGCAATCTGAATACTCATGCTGACAAGCCGTACTTGCTGGATGAGTACATTCATTACACCGCAAAAAAAGACGTCGAACGAATCCTTTGAGTTTTCGTGGAACTTTACTATACATTAACCAGCTACTTTTCTACACACAGCTCCTTCTGCAGACAATAGAGAACGCTTCACTTATGCGATAATCAAAATTTCCTCGCTGAACCTTTAAAATTTTAACATCTTATAAAAAAAAAACATACTATCTGCTAGATCAATAGTTCTCTATATTTCGTTTTCAAGAATCAATGTATCTCTGGGTTTTGTTATAGTTTTTCAATCCCTATTAGTTGAAAGCATTGACATCGCAAATTGCTGACCTCCATTAGTATCATATGATGAATGTCCTATCTGGATTTATATCCTTAAAATATTTATTTTCGTGTTTCTTTCTAACGTTCGTTTTCATCCTAGTTGAAAAGAATGCAACATTTGTTCATTTTTACTTGAACGCAGATAGCAGAGACAAACATACGGGTTAGCAGTAGACATACGAGCATACGTTTCGACAAACGAGTATAAATGTAAATATAAGGAATACACAGAGACAAAAGCACATAGATATACAAGTATAGGGGATTAGGCATATCTATTGACAGGTTAGATATAGAGCTTGCGGGAAAGAAATTTAGAAACAGGTAGATATAACGTGGGTTAAAGTAGTATGGAGAATTACAAGCAGATAGATATCAGGGGTTCGAGATAGGTATAAGGAGTTACAAAAAAAAACACTTATAAGACGCTAGCCATAGATATAGGCGTTAGAAATACATAGATACAAGGGGATTAGGAATATGAGGTAGAAATAGACAGTTGTAAGGAATTAGTCATACATATNGTGGACCTGTGAGACATGAACAGCACCACCCTTGGATTGGCTGTTCTCCAAGAGAATTGAAGTGTACAGTAGCATTGTGCTTAACAGATTTTGAATGTCTGGACTGGAACTGTACTCGTATGAGATCTGGATAACGATTGTCACATTGTACTTCAAATATGAGTTCATCGTCGTCCAAAATTGATCCTTTTACATGCTCCATTATATAGCTTTTTGCGATCTTCACCTGAAACACTCCTTAGAAGAAAAGAAAACTTATCATCATGTAGTAAGAACAATGTCTGCTTACCAAAAGTAATGTTACGAACGTCTTATTCAGTTAGTGTAGGAAATAAACAGTGTTGTGCGTCGTACATTTTCCAGCTAATACGTTTATTATATTCAAGATCCTCAACGTACTGTTGAAAGGCATTTTCTGAATGCACTAGCTTCAGCATTTCTTTCGCCATCTCTTTTCCCACCGAAACGTCTTTCACAGGAAGAGATCGATACTTGCTTACTAAGAAAAATATTACTGGGTTCGCGATATTTAAGAATATCACTTATTTAGTGCACACACAATACTGACGTAATCTGGAAGAAACTTTATTGTAGATAATTGAATTGTTTGTGCTAAAAATCGCCACTGTTTGATTTTTCCATTAACTAGTATTAGGAATAAAGTATTGATAGCAATCACACGCAGAAATTACAGATTCTTACCGCTTTCAACTACCCATCTCACTTTCGTAATGCTGCGGATACGATTGGCTTGAGCAGCGTCAAATTGTTTCTTTCCTCCTGTTAGGAAATCTGGCATTGCAGGTTGCAAACCGATCATCTTCATGGAGTTGATGGCATCACGAAATCCTCTGTCAAGTAATATTACATCATCATCAAGTACTCAATTCAGCATTCCTCCCTTGTTTTCGAATAGACAATGTTTGACGATGGATGCATCATTATTTATTGCAACAGTAAGGAAGGGACCAAAAACACTTAGAATATAACCATCAGTACTAGTGACGATCATGGGCTATAATAAAAACGATGAAAATTTATTATATTTACTGGAAAATAAATCAGATTCACCACTCACCTTTACGAGATTACGATGTTTGTGTAGTGAATAAGAACGTCGTTGAAACTCATTGTTAGTCGATTTTTGCACGTACAAATATGTACTATCAATAACAAGAGCTAATTGATTTGGTGTATACAAAAGTAATTCTTTAGCTATAGCAGTCGTGTGATGATCAATAACAGTTTGTCGGTTTATATGATGAAAACCGAGGTAATGTTGTACAAAGTCACTCATCATTGCTTTTCGCACAGAATGAATCACACGAGACACCGAGCGTTTATCTTCTAAGTGAAAAATTGATGCTAAAACTTTGTTGCTTAGACCCAAATGCATTTTGGTCAAAAATATGGCTACTGCCGCTCTCGTAGACCGTACATGAGAGTGCCGTATTGATTTTAGATATTGAAGAAGGTCTTCGAAGTCAACTAAAGATAGGCAAAAAGTTTTAAAATACGAATCTTTAAACACCATCAAATATGTGCAGGCATATTTTGCGTGTTCTTTATGTTTATCACCTGAGTATGGAATTTTTTCTCAGATAATTTGTATTCCTGTGGGATATGATTGAGTTAAACATATTTGTAGACGGAAAAACATGCAAAGGGATCTAATATAGTAATGCCAAGAGTGAAAAATATTTCTAAGTTTTCCATTTTCAAAGAAACAAACATATTAATCAGAAAATATCTATATTCCTGTACACCAATTAAAATTTTATCAGCTAGAAACCTAAAAGGAATCATTTTCATAAGCTATCCGACTAACTGAAAAAAGAATTCTATTCCGATTTTTTGAAATCATTGTCTCCATTTTTATAGATCACCACAAACGAAAAGTATAAAACTAATTAAAGCGGGTACCTTTCTTTAAATCAGTAATATTGAAGTAACATTCACCCGAAAGATAGGTTGGATCATCAAAATCAAAACTTTTCGAAGATTGAATACTTGAACGAAAATCGTCCATGAGACCTTGAACTTCGCTGGAGTTAAAAGCCAGGCGATCAGAAATAGAGCCATTAATCTGCCACAGACCTTCATAAGAAAGCTGACCTTTATATAAATGATCGGAGCAACAACAAGTCCCTGGCGATACTAAAATACCTCGTCTAATGAAGATCATTGTTCGTTGACTATCTGATAATACCTTCATTGGTGAGGTATCCCTAATGTCACACACAACGCACGATCTAATAGCAAATCATACATAGATATATACATTACAATTAAAGCTGTGGAAACAATCACCTATGTGAATTTGACGTTCGTTGAACGTAGAGATCAATCGTGCCACAAACCGACTATGTTTGAATTCCAACCGAAGAATTAAAATCTATATCATCGTTCACTTCCATCATAGCCTGCAAATCCAACATTCAAACAAATCCAAAAAATAGAAAACAAAAAAACAAAAGACTGACTTCATTCATTTCGTTGCTCTTGACAATAAAATCATTGATCGTACTATTGAATTTTGTTCTCCAATAATCAAAGGCCGAACGACACTTCATACAAATACGGTCTTCTTCCAATACTAATACACCCAAACGAGCACATATATATAATTTTAGCAAAGGACTATTTATTGGATGATGCCGACAAATATCCAGTTGTGCTTTACACAAAACACAGTACACGTGAGGCATGGTAGATACGATCGAAAGAATATAATGAATGAAACTTTTAATCGCTCTCGAATTTCATTATTATTTTCTCTAAAATGACATATAAACAATCGAAACACACACGTGGTCAAATATTGTCATAACGCAACAAGTATATATTTTTTCCTATTCTCCAAATTTTGGACGTCCATCACCAGGGGGAGGGTTTACTAATTGCCTACATCTATACAAAAAAAATCTTTCATTCAATCACTTCCTCAAGAGCAGGAATCAGACCGATCAATGGACTAGTTATTCTACAGAGTGTTTGCATTTCATTATAAAATATCCTTAAAAATCGACAATTCTTCTTTGCATTTCAGATTACAACAATTCAAAAATAATATTTTCCTCACTGAATTCTCAGTTCTACGGAAAACATTTATCTTCATATGTGCAGTTGTTAGATTTCTCAGAATGCCCAACCCATTTTCTCTTTTCTCGCATACGGTCACATTCCGTAGAGCTCTTCAAGCTCTATCGATTGGTATATTAACGAAAGTGTTTTAAATGAACAATAACAGAACACCATTTAGCCAGACCATGGATGAACAGGATTTTACACCTATCATAGGCACTTTCTAGTTTTCTGCGCACTCGTGCTCGAATTCGACTTTATCACTTCGCTTCTCATTTTGTAGAGCTTTTCAAGCTCTATCGATTGGTATGTCAACGGAAGTGTTTTAAATGAACAATAAGAGAATAGGATTCGTCAAAACATGGATGAGCATCGCTTTTTATCGATTATAGACCGTTTAAAGCGAAAAGCGGTCTCTGGTAAAGTTACGTTTGTCTGTGATACTTTTAGTACGCTTACGGGGGCATGTGAAATTTAAAGTCCTCTTTCTAATAATATCGATAGGAGGTCAAAAATCTGTTCCACGATAGCAATTACAGTCATTTTGTTATCCTTTGGCGGAAGCTGTATAGAAGACTATTGATAAGAGTTATTTAGTGACCTATTCCGCTGAAGGACTCAATCTATTTCACTTGGAATTGTCTTTAAACGATTGGGCGCATTTTTCACCTAGGTCTGACTACTTTTTGTATACTCAAAAAGTGAGTACACTCTAGAATCGGTCAGTGTGTCCGGCCGTCCGGCTGTTTACACGATAACTTTTGAAAGGAGTCCGATCACGATGAAATTTTCTACACAGTTCAATCTTAACAATGTCTCGGTTGAGTTCGAAGATGGGTAGAATTGGCCGAACCATTCCTGAGTTATTGAAAAAATACTCATTTTTCCCTATGGCTTTCTATGCGAAAATCGACCCATCCCCACTTTCGTAAAGAAATTGTCCTATTATACTCAAACAAAACCCCAACTATTATGTACCATTCGATAGAGAATTTTACGAGCTACCAAATGGTATATAAAACATAAAGAAACAAGAAGGCTAGCTCACCTATTGCAAAGATAAATAAACGGAAATCGGTTCTGTTCTTGTCCACGCTCTAACTGATTCACAATTAGAGCACTATCTTCCGATAAGAGGTGATGCTTGAAGGTTTTCTGGAGTGGAGAACTCGAATCTGTACTCCACTTGTTTCGAAGTCCTATTAGTTGAGCACTGACCAATAGAAATCAAGTTATAGAAAAAACNAGATATTTTGTTAAATCATGATTCATTAACAATTTACGTTTAGTTCCAAATCATGTTTGACAATTATCTAAATTATGATAGAATAAACATAATGAAATTCTATATATTACACGTCAGAGATAAGGATCATTCAGTCCATATCAAATACCATGAAACTGATATCGATATGATTTAGTTGATGTTAGAGATGTTTTATATGATCGTTGGACGTATTTTGCTTGCGACTAGAAGCTTTTGTTTCTTTCAAATTAATCACTATTTCATTAGGAATTTTGCTGTTTGATATTATTACAGGATCTCCAATGCATACCTAAATTGAAAAGTTTTTTTCATTTAATGAATTGAATTTAGCTTACAAATTTCAGATATATAGTAAATTATACTATATAGTTCTTTTACTTTTTGTGGAACGTAAGGTTGTTTTTTTTTTAGTTCCATGATATTGGCTTACGTCGTCTTTTTCGTCGCCCCCACCTTGTTTTTTAGGGACGGCGCACTTCTCTAGCATGAATAAAACAGGTTTTGATACATCTAATTCACAAGTCGCACGTGTCGTAATAGAGAACATCTTTTGTAAAAAGTTTATTATTTATTCCTTATCTTTCTATCGACTATTTACCCACGCGAAAAAAAAATAACAAAGAGAAAAAAAAAATATTTTTTTGTTATTTTGACGATTTTATCGTAATAAGAAAAGATGGCGACATCAGAAACAGACTCACATTGGAGTGTTGAGATCGTTAATGAAAATGATCTAGTTGATTTATTACCTTTACTACGAGCTTATTGTGAATTTTATAATCAAACTGAACAAATTCCTTTAATTAGTGACGATGCTCTTATGTCTATATCTCGGGCACTTATAGCTAATCCAACTCAAGAAGGTATTCAACTTATTGTTCGTGATTTCAAAGAACGAACACCAGTTGGTTTTGCAACTATATATTGGTGTTGGTCTACACTTCAAGGAGGTCGTCGTGCAATTATGAATGACCTTTATGTGTACGAACAATATCGTGGTCAAGGAGTTGCTGACATTCTTATTACTGAATGTGCACGACGAGCACGTGAACATGGTGATGTATGTCTAGCATGGGAAACTTCAATAGATAATAAACGTGCTCAAACCGTCTATGATAGAAGTGGAGCATTGAAAAATAATCGATGGTTATATTATACACTTTCTTTATGATATTCGAAGAATTTTTTTATTGCTTATTATTCCATGTAATATCAATGGTATTTTGGTGATTTTTTCAAATTTTTAATAAGTAATTTTACTTTAATTTTTATTATTATTAATATTATATTTGATTGAATAAATGAGAATATTGCTATTTTATTTTAATTTCATTAATTATGTTGATATTTTTAAAATATGAATAATGTAAGTTGTAGGAAATTATTCTACTTAGATAATAATGGGTTTAGCACGATTTATACAATTTTCAAGAGTATTTTTATTCACTGCTATTTTTCTATTTTCACCTCTTGCTACGTTTATTACATTTATTCTTTTATCATAGTTTTGATCTCTGTCTATGACTCTTACAATATGTTTTATGTATGGTTATTGGGTCTAGCATGTAGGCATGGCATAGATGTCCAACATTGCTGAAAATCTACCGCAACTGCCACGGTATTAACAATATAGTCTAGAGAACCTTCTCTTTTCTAAAATAAGAAAATATGTACGTATATTTAAACGAGTGTTGCGTACAGATTTCACAGAATTATACCTGGTTTTGTTCATTACAAAGTTTATTAAAGGATCTTGTCGGATTTATTGGTATATCTTGAACCAGGATATTATATATATATGATCTACTATAGCGATTTACGGTGCATCGAATGATATATAAGAAATAAATTTTTATGAAAAGATTCATATGGTAACAGTTCATAGACTCATTATAAATCTTGATATTTATATATATATCGTATTGATAGACATTATGCTCCTTAGGGTGTTTTAAGATAATATTATAAAAATATTGTTTTTAAATTTAATTCGATACAATTATAGCTGCTCTTCAATTTTCTGTAATCGATAGTTTTCATCATTACTCTCTTCATCCGTAAAACTGGACCTTTTCTTGCGTCTCGCTTATTTCTTGACTACAATTCTATTTCTATACCTTCCCTCGAAAGTTTGATCGTTAAAAAATTTATTTTTCGTTGATAAAGGAGTTATTTATATTAGTTTATGAGGGATACAGCACTGACTATTGATATATATATATATATATATATAAATTAATAATAGAACCATTGAGTATAATTAAAATATCATCAATATATCGGTTCCATTAATTTAAAAAACAAATAGGTTATTATAGGAGACAATTTAGTAAGCTGACAATGAGTCATTGTTGTGTCGAAAGATCTTATCTGTAAATAATATAGATACCAATATTGTGCAATCTTTGAAAAAGTTTCACGTTGCTATTTACTTGTTCTATGGTACATAGATAAACACACTGGAATAGAAAATGGTCAAGATATAAGCGAGACATAATAAAAGAGTCAGTTTTATATATGAAAAAAGCAATGATGAAAATTATTTGTTATAGAGAATAAAAGAGCATCTCCAATTCTATCACAATAAGATGAAAAACAAAATTTTTATAATTTATCTTAAAACATCTTAGAGAATATAATGTCAATGAATATAATATATATATATGAGTAAATCCATGGAGATCCAGCCACTTTTTGGAAAAGTTTGTTTTTCAGTTTTTTTCTCCATCAAACGGCTGATCCACTTCAGAAAACATTATTGATAAAAAAAAATTAGCTTTCATTATCAAAATTCTGGACTTCCAGGTCAATTTCTCGGAGCATGTCGAGATACATAGTAAAGGCCAAGTAGCTCAGCTAAAGCGCTCTATGGGTGATGCAAAATACCGTTACATGGTTAACTTTTTATGCTGAATCTTATGGAAGGGTCTAAAAGCATTTTTGAAATGAAAAAAAAGCCATTCATAAGGAGAGTCTGGAATTCTGGGGCATTTTTGTGGAAAAGTGGATATATAGACTGTATTTCATCAGCGAAAGTAACCACCAATCGCTAATATCTTAAAATATATTTTTACTTTGATTACAAAATCTTCTGACAACTGAGATTGCTGAAAACTGTCAGCCAGTGTTTTCCGAAAAAACTTCGAAAAACAATGTACATCAAAAAGAACTTCATTTAAACGAAAATGTGGTGACTTGTGTTGATCGAGAGGTCGGTCGACATTGAACTGTGTTGTTATTGATAGGTTGGAATTCATGCATATTTCGGATACCATTGATCATGCCTAAATGGAGAGTGTAACTATTTAATAGAAAATAGTTTGACTTACCTGAAGAGCGAAGTTGTTCACTTCTGACTTTGATAACTCTCTCTTTGACCTGTTCGACTTCTGCAGAATCTAAGAAGAAAACATGTATACCAGGATTTTGTTTATTTGAATTGCTGGCGGTTTCCAATTGATGCTTGAGAGAAAATTCATAGAAATTCTTCGCAGTGGACAAAAGAATATTCTTGGAAAGTGTGGCACGTCTTGCAGTGGACTTCAACACTGCACCGATGCCATCACCTGCTGCTTTACCGTGTCCGGTTACTGTAAATGTCCAACAAGCATCCAAAGCAAAGTCATTCCTGTGATGAACTAGATTTAGAATGCTCGCATTATTCTTAAAATGAGCAGTTGCGCCATCGCTAAGAGAATTAAGAAAGTCAGCGTATACATAATAAACAGTCATGTAAGTTTCTGTGTGATATAGATGAGACTTACCTAATGTAATTGACTTTTTTGACCAAAGGACAATTCTTTTTTATGAACTGAGCGAGAATTTTCTGTGCACAATAGACAAAGGCTGTTGTGTGTTCCAGGTGATCACTAATTATCGCTACGTTGCGATGCTCTTGTCCAATAATCAGATGGATAGTGAACAATGTGACTTGATGATGGCTGAAGAAGCCCTGTTGCACCTCACGCTGACGGATGAGTGTGTAGTTCATCGAGAAGTCGATATGAGCGACGATACATGTTTTGTTCGTTGACTGGCTGCGCAATTCCTTGATATAATCACGTTGCTGTCTGTTATAATAGGTGTGGATAAGAAATGCCGGCCAACTTTCTTCGATCGTAGTTAGAAGAGAATCAACTGAGCCGATTATGTGTTGGAGGTCGAATTTGTTTTTCATTTTCTTCCACATCGTCCACGAACATTCGTCGTCGATGTCAATGATACTGTTACCGATGAGAATGTCGATAATTGCTTCTTCTGGGCAGTTCTCACATGTTCCATTAAAGCAATCTTCTGTTTCAGTCGTGCAAATCATTCGAGAGATGAGATCCTTTAGATTGAACTTGCCATCGTTTCCTGTAGAAGTTTTTTTAATATACTTTTGATAATAGCTGTTCCAAGCCTATTATGAGTCGGACATTAGAAGTAAATCAATATCATTACAATAGGCACAAACCTTTAATAGAAGATCCATGTTTTCATGGGTAGTGCGCATACATGTTTCATGTGGTGAGGCTATTTTGACTTCTCGAGGTGGAAGTGAGTTGAAAGTCGATCGTGCTACAGCTTCAGGATGTCGTTCGTTGAATATTCGATAAGCATCTAAGACTGTCATTTCCATAAATCGAACCGGTACCGGTTGTTTATTGATGAGGATCGTGTCTTTGGCATTAGATGATACTCGACTTATACCATCTTCGCAGTAAAATTTAACCACAGCGTCAAATGTTGCATCGGATAAAGGCAAATTTCCTCGTAAACACTGTGGATAAGCTAAAACTCCCTCGTTTTTTCTCAGAACGAGTGATCGGCGAGCCTGGTTTTGTCCTGAATTAAACCTAACAATAGAAAAATGCCAAGTGAAAGATAATCAAAAAAAATGATGATTACTGATGGAAAATACTAAGGATAAATAACTTACCACTTTTCGACTTGTTTTCGGCCCCATTGTTGAGGTGCGATTGTCATCAGACGGACTTGTTCTTTGTCATCGCTTTCATCGAACAACCTTTTCAGGCCATCCAAAAGCTCGTTTGATTCACTAATCAACAGATTATGTGGATTTGCATTGCGTTGATCTTGAGGTTTTCCTTCTAACACATCACATAATCCATGAAGATATCTGTATACTTCATCGATTTTAGCACGAATGGGACGAACAGCCACCCTAAGAATAAGAACATTTACAGAAAGCCGAGAACTAAGTGAGCGATTTACTTGTCGTGAATTGGATTTATATTCAATAATCGGAAGATAGTGGATAATTTTTCTATTGCTTCATTTTGGTGATATTCGAGATCATAAGAAACATCATCTGATTCTTCATCCATTGATTCAGCATCAGTTTCTTCATCGTTGTCTTTTGTCTCAGCTTCCATGTTATCATTCATGTAAACATTATTTTCATCTTCTAGATTGTCATACAAAACTTCTTCGTCAGCATCTTCTTCATGATCATCTTCACCAGAAGAAATATCTTCTACCGTATATTCATCATCAGTGAGCCTTTGATTGTTGTTGATTTGCATTGGTTGATGAATTTTCATTTCATTTGATTCCAATGTATGACATCTAGGACAGAGCCAATGAACACGAGTGTCCGTGATATCATATCGATTGATTAAAAACATGGATAATTTCAATGAGACTGCTCTAACTCCTTTTGCTTCTGATGTAGACGTTGCGTGTCTCCAGGAGATAGAGCAGTAGGAAATAGATAAGAAAAGAGAGAGATAACTGCTGTAAATAACATTTTATTAAAAATATTTATTTCAAACAGAAATAAAAACAAGGGAGATTCAAGCTTTCGTGTCCTTTTCTGTAACACATCGTCAGGAATGATGTTGTGAGAGATGTCGAGATTCAGGATAGGCGATGTTGATGTTGAATAATGCTGTTGAGATAAACGGCTGATGTTCCATGATGTGATGGTAAGGATGGAATGTGATGATCATATACATTATGCGTTGTCGTTGTTGTTAGATTGAACTAAATTCAGATGAATTGAAAAGTAAGAAAATACAAAAGACTAATATGGAACCAATAAATCAGAAGATGCAGAAGAAAAATAATAACTATAGTGCGAGGAGTATCGACCTAGATTATAGGCAGAACATCACCTACAACACTGATAATGCTTTTAATATAGGTAATCTAGATGGAATTGGATATTACCTTTATTAAGTAGATTAATACATTGTCGCTGTTGTTGTTAGATTAAGCTAAATTAAGCTAAATTAAGAAGGAGGAAAACAAAGAAGATGAATATTAAACAAGTCAGAAGATACAGAAGAAAATTAAAATGGATAACTGCAGTGCAAGGAGTGTCGACCTTGATTTTAGGCAGAACATCTCCCACAACACCAATCATAATGTTAAACTAAATTAAGATAAATTGGAAACGAAAAAAGCTGAGAAGACAAATGTTGCACAGGCAGATACTTAAAGATAAATATAAAAGTATAGGTATATACGTATAGAGACGAGAACTTATAATGACTTTTCTGACTAATACGAAGGGTGTCGGCCCTGGTCTTAAGGCGGAACATCTCTAACACTATTAATCAGAATAAGTGCAGTGTTTTTAAATTTTTAGAAGAAAGATAAATGTAGTGCGAGGAGTGTCGACTTTTGATGTTAGGCAGAACATCTCCCACAACACCGATGATAATTTTAGATAAATGCGGAAACTTCGGATTTAAATCCGAGAGTTATGTGTACTCGAAAAAGTGAATCATACAAATCAATTATCCTAGACTCTCGAAAATATCAATATTATACTCGGAAATCTACCATTTAAAATGTTCATTTCTATTGCGAGTTGACAAATCAATAGGATTTGAGACCGAATTAAGCTCAGATTTCAACTCTTCTGTCTAATTTAGCCTCAGAAAGTCGTTTTTCCTATATAGCGTCATTTCTATTGGCCATCAAACAACTGATAGTATTTCGATGGAAGTCCAGTATACATTCGAATTCTCCATCTCTGAAAACCTCGAAGTATCATCACTATGATCGGAAGATTGAGCTCTATTTGTGGATTAATTAGATCATGGACCAAAATCTAACCTAGTTTTTTTTAATTATCCTTGTCATATGTAAATCATTCCTCTTGTTTCTTTATGTTTTATATATCAGTTTGTAGCTCTTGAAATTCTCTATCGAATGATATATAATAGTTGGAGTTTTGATTGGCTATGATAGGAAAAGTCTTTTACGAAAGTGGTAGTGGGTCGATTTTTCCATAGGAAGCCATAGGGGAAAATGCGTATTTTTGCAATAACGCAGGAACGCCTCGGCCGATCCTTCTCATCTTCGAATTCGATCGAGATATTGTTAAGACTAAGCTGTGTAGAAAGTTTCATCGCAATCTGACTCTGCTGTCAAAAGTTATCATGTAAACAGCCGACCGGACGGACGGCCACTGACTATCCTATAGTGTACTCACTTTTTGAGTACACAAAAACTATAATTTGCTTCAAAACTAATATCAAATTCAGAATCAGCGTTAAAAACTGAGTCGATTTATGTATTTTGTGAATAATTATGAGCAAAAAACTTTTTTTGGAAAAATCCCCGTACCCCCCCTCAGGGATGGCCTGGTCAAAAATCACCATTTTTTTGATAACTCAGCCATTTCTCGACGGATCCTTCTCATCTTCGAACTCGACCGAGATATTCTAAAGACTGAACTGTGTAGAAAATTTCATCACGATCCGACTCTCTTTTCGAAAGTTATCGGATAAACGGCCGGACGGACACACTGACCGATTTTAGTAGTGTACTCACTTTTTGAGTACACAAAAAAGGGTTATATATAGGGAAGTGGACGTTATTATGATTTAATCGGTTAATGATAAATTTCTTCTAAAATAAATTATATGCCCGCAGGTTTCTTATAAGAAAGAGGGTAATTGATGGTTATGTGGGCATGAGAGTAAGTGAGCATGATTAGTAAATATATGTGGAGTGAAGATTATTAATATTGTTATTATTATTGTGAATGATGGCTGTTGTTTAACTAACTACTTGTAAAAGATGGCTGTTGTTGAACTAATTAGCAATAAATAGAATACATTGCCAAGACGTTTTTGAAATAACGGTTTTAATTGGGATGTGTGGTTCAAATTTACAAATCATCGAGTTCATCTACAGCAAGTTTACTACAGCCAACTACACTACGAGTACTATCCACTGAAACACTGACAACACTGGGACACTACCATTTACTGATGTCTTAGACATATCTACACCAATATATGTCGATGCACCAAAATCATCAGTGTTCCAGTATACAATGCTGCGGTATCGGAAGTGCTCAGTGAATAGTTTGTCTATGACATCAGTTACCAGTAAACTGAAACCTCACATGTAGGGGTGGCACTTTCCTTTCTTTTGGGAAAGTAAAGTTGTGAAACTTTCTTTTTTGTTTTTCGTATTCTCTTAGATGGAACTAACATTTCCTGTTTTCTATAAAGGAAACAGCTAAGAAGCCCTAAAGGAAGTGAAAGAAAGCAGCAAGAAAGTATGAGAAAGTTGTTTTGGTAGTAAAAACGAAGTTTCAATATTTGAAAATAACAACAGAACACAAAATAGAAGATGATCAAACAATCAAAAGATCGTTTTGTTGAGTTTCAATTTTTCGACTAAACCCTGAGGGGACCCAGATCAATTTTTCGATGAAAAAACATTTTCTCGAAGATATTTAAAATATACATAAGTCAACTCTGACTTAGAGGCTAATTCATAACATCATAGTAGTTTTGATCAAATCATAACTTTTCTAACCAAAATTTGCTAAATTTCAATAAAAGATGAACAAACCTATGATACTTGAATAATTTCCGCCGATTTTTTCGATTCTTTCTAACATTCTTTTCTCAGTATCTTAATGACGGCTGTTAAGACCACAAAATTCTATCTTTCGCCAACCTATTTTATGTTTTCACTTTCGAATAATGTCACTTTTTTCATACTATGGTCTATTTGATTTCATGCTGAATTCAAAACAGAAAATGGAATTTAATTTCAAACTGAAATTGAACTTTTTCCAGTCTTCAGATTTTATATGACATTATATGTCGTATAGAACCTATAGATCTTAAATAATCTGTATATTCCCTTATTTTTAAAGGGATGTAGGTCTTTGCGGGCCTTTGGCGGGTCTTTAGACTTTATATGGCATTATATACCTTAAAAATGACGTCTTGAGAGGCGGGTGAGGGTGTTTACAGTTAAATCATCATTTATACTCTATATATCCTCTTTTTTATGGGCTGTCAGTCTTCTCGTATTGGTGAGGCTTGGCGGGTCTTCGCAGATCTTTATTGCAAAATTCAGCTTGAAATCAAAAGGACCATAGACTCATTTTTGGGAAAGGGAGGCAAACTGACTTTCATCTTTCCTTTCTAAAAGTAAAAAGAAAATGAACGTGCCACTCCTACTCACATATCCATACATTCTTGCTCTACCGATGTATTCAATTTTTCGCATAAGATTCAGCCTTTAGTTACGGGAAAGTCATTACTTTCCATAAAAGCTCTTTCATTGATAAAAAATCCAACTCAAAATTCCCAAGAAAGCTGATTTCAAATTCGGATTCCCCGACCCCGATCTACTTTCGTCAATCTTTATACAATATCAAGATTTTCTCAAAACAAGATTTCCTTTACCGAAAAACAAAACCAAAAATTTTTGAAAATCTGACTTCAGATTCGGATTCCCCGACCCCGATAAATTACAGTAAAGTTTCACAGAAAGATCGAAAAATCTAAAAATAAGCTAACCTCTCATATATGTTCTTTTTGACCTGCCACAAACATACAAACAAACAAACACATAAACGCATTTTATTTCATATGACCCTCTCTACAGTCGAGGGAATGAAAGGTGAAAGAAAAAGAAAAAAAACAATTTGGACGGGAGGCAATTGTTTTGTCTTGTCCATAATTCATCATGCATGTTATCATTAATTAAGGACGAGGTGTGTTTTGAGCACCACAAAAAAGACATTTGAGCATCAATTTTAATATATGTAAAATGAGCACTAAAATATAAGATATTTGAGCACCAAAGTTACATCTAGATGAAATCAGAGCAATAGTGGTAACTTTACAAGAACAGCAGCAACAGCAGACAGATAATAAATATAAGAACAAACAAATAAATAAATATGAAAATAATGAAGAGCACACAATTCATAATAGTAAAGTAGATCGATCTTTTTTTGATCTACATTTTCTTCGTCGTTTACCTACAAATTCCGAACACGTTGTAATAGTTAATTGAGACTGTTATTCTTTAAATGAACACGTCAACATAAAGGTCTAATTTGAGAATAGCTATTTCAGAATTTATTAGTTTTTTTTTCATTAAGAAACAAAGTAAAAGTAAATAATATAAATAGCAATACAGTTCAAATTTTTATTTATTTTTTTATCATAGTTAGCCGCTTGACAAAGATAGAATTCGAAAGGCCTCGCGCTATTAAAGTTTCTATTCCTATCTATTCTTTTTCTTCATTGCTTTCATTCTTCGTTCTTTTTATTTTATTATTGGGGTATCCTGAAAAAACAAAAAATAAAAATTATAATAAATAAAATTGTATTGCTATTTGTATTATTCGCTTTTCCTTTACTCGTTTCTGAAAAAAGAAACGATAAAAAAGAAAAAAGTCTATAAATTTTGATAAAGCTATTCTTAAATGACATCTTCACGTTGACTTGTTCAATTTCAAAAATAGGTTGATAACTTTTATATTATTCTTTTCATTGGGTGCTCAATTGTGTTTTTGTAGTGCTCAAAAACCATTTTCTCCATTAATTAATCTATATATCACATATATACATTGAGATATTGTAATTGGATTTATCTCAATGTATGTGTATGCCCTGATCATAGCTTAATTAATATCGTCTTGTAATCATTCTCCGACAAAAAAAATGAAAGAAAATTTTCTCTTCCAAGAAAAAAAAAGACTTTTTTGGGATATAAATATGAATGATTTTCTATGTAAAATTATTCAATTTATTGAATCAAATAATAGTCTAATCATTTCTTTTTATATTTAAGAGTGGTTTGAACGATCCAAAATTAAACAGCTCAATACCAAACAATACGAAAAAAAAATGTAGGTATCAGTTTTTAATTTTTTTCCTTTTCTTTTGGATCATATGAAGAGTGATAAATCCTCCTGTGATCTTTTTATTAATGTTTTTTTTTAATTTTAGGGGGATAAACAATAAATAAAAAGATGACGAGGGGTAACTTATATCATTCTCTTTCATTATATAACATTACTTAAAATTTTTTTTTCTTTTCCTTTTAGTCGTCGGTATCATCGCATCGCGTTGTATCATCCATCCTTCAACAACGCACATAGTGAGTGATGTTTGTTTTTCTAAACATGAGGGTAGGACGAGTTATGTCCATTGAGATTAGGCTCCACTTATATGAAGGACTTCCGAGTAGTCCTTAAAAGCTCGGTCAAGAACTGCTCTGGTGTCCGTGGCACATGGCCTGGCCCTCCACATTCACTGACACATGACATCGGATGGGTGCATGTGAATGATGTGCGTCTCTTCGCGCCTGCGAATAGAATAAGCACTCATTTCATCAATGCCACATGAATTTATTGGAAAGGAAAGAAAAGAAAAAAAATTAATCCATCGTAATGAGTTCATTCGATAGAAAAACGTTGAACACGAGTATTCCCAAAATCGACGACGTAGAGATCGCCTTGCCGATCGAAGAACAAACCAACGGGAATGTTGAACTGATTTGCTTCTGCTCCTTGACCATTTCTACCCACAATGACAGTGCCTTGTTTTGCTCCTTTAAGCCAACGCATCACTCGATGATTCCACGAGTCTGCCACATAGACGGTACCCAACGTATCGACGAACAGTCCTGCAGGATGCGACAATTGTATCAAAGCATTTCCTTCGTCTTCACCTCCAGCGATGACAATGCCTTCTTTTGCGTCTTTATCCCATTTCATCACACGATTCTTCTCTTTGTCTGACACGTAAACAGTCTGTTGTTGATCGACAAAGATGTAGGTCGGAGCGCTGAGTTCATTGAGACGAGTACCTTTGCCATTGCCGCCAGCCACAAGAGTTCCATTCTTGTCTCCTATTTGATATCGTCTTACTTCATGTCTTTTGCAGTCAGAGATGTAGAGATATCTCTGATTATCCATGGCCAATCCCCAACAATCGATGTTATCGATGAGGATTTCTCCTTGAGTTGTGCCACTACGACGAGACCATCGTACAACTCGTCGATTCCATCGATCACAAATAATGAGACTCTCTGTCTCTTTATCTATCAGCACATCGGTTGGTCGATCGAATTGATCCAATCGATCTCCTTGGCCATTGCCACCAGCTACCACTTGTCCATTCGTATCACCAATCTTCCATTGGATGATACGATGATTCGAGAAGTCAGCGATGACAATCGTTTGATCATCATCAACGAACAGACCTTGAGGCGAGTAGAGTTGATTGGTGGCATTGCCTTCTCCATGACCTCCAGCAACAGTCACACCATTCTGTGCCCAACGGACATTGACTGGAATATTGGGAATTACTACAATGAACGAGAAAAAGAATCATTTTCGGCGTTATCTATGAATAACAAATTCTTCTTCGAAGAAAACTTGATAAAACTTTCGTGAATGTCTTTCTCTAACATGCTCTAAACAAGCGAAAGGTTCTCCTAGTTTCATATGCAACAAAAAAAAGAAATTGGTAACGATTATAATGAGAATCCTTTGAGATTCCTGGAAAGAGTTTTTTTTGTCTAGTAGAAGCATTTCTGAAATACTGAGAAGATTCTATCCGGATCTTGATTCTAAATTTGAGGAACGTATAGGAGGTTGTTGTAGAAGTTAACATTCTTGAAAATGTTGACAAGTCCAATGCTAATAGTATGTTACCTATCGATTGGAAAACAGAGATTTTAGTTATAGTTTTTATTATCAGTTCCAGTATTTTAATAAGAATTTTATAAGGAGAAGGTCAAAAATAAGGATTTCAGGATGCTTTTCATTTGCCGTTTGATGACTCCATAATAAAACGTTGTGATCTGTCGATTTTAGGTGTAATTTGAAAATTGCGGAAAAAGAATAATTTTTTTTGTTTATGAAAAATGCATAGTTCAATTCTCAACAAGTTTGTATTTACTTATTAGCCGTAACATGAGCTGAGTTTTTTGAAATGGGATGAGTACTCATTTTCAATAATTCAAACTAATATTCACTTCTTCATTGACATTGGAAAATGAATTTCGAAAGCATTTTTATGAACAAGATGATCAACATTTTACATTTAGGAGTATTAAAAAACGAGGTTAACTAATATATTTACACTAGAGTTCACTAAATAAAGTCATATTAAACCCGATGAATAAAAAGCTTTAATTTGTTTTGATGATTTTTGTCTGTTACTGTGTTATCAAAAAATCCAAAACAAAATGAATCAAGAATAATCATGTATCATGTACAATTGATACATGATATTTATTTGCATGTTGATTGTTCTTGACTTGAAAACCTTAGTATTTATAGATAATTCTCTGAGACTCTTTTTTATGAATTCATCGAGCAAGTCACATTTTCTCGTAGTTGTTCGTTACCTGTGAACGAAACAATGGATTCGTTAGTGTACAACATTTCGAGTTTTCTCTATATTAACGGCGACGAACTAGTCGTAGAGATTACAATCATTTTTATTCAACATTTATTTATCAAGCATACGTAGTTTTGAATAAAAAATATAACTTTCAGTCATACTTATAATCTTGGACCTTGATAAGAAACAGTTTGATTATAGTCATTAACCAATACAATTGCCAGTATTACTCAAGACTTTGCACGTAAAAAATATTAGGATAAAGATCCGGTTAAAATCGATTCATAACATATACTTGTAACCAATCCTTAACCCTCTTGTAACCGGTTATAGTCAAAACGAACGGAAAAAATCAAAACTAATTGGTTATCCTGATTGATTTCGACTATAAGCGATAAAAAACTTGATGAAAAAAATTGATTATAATGGATGTAATCCGAAGTAAATCGGCTAAAGATTTTCTTATTTAGCACGAAGAAAAATCAATGAAATGTTTTTTTTTCGGCTATTTTTTATTATAATCATTTTTTAATCGATGGAAATCTCATTATTACCCTAATTATTTTGCATGGGTTGAGACTAATTAAAATTATTAGTCATATTCATGCCTTAAATAGTGTATGCTCACACCCGGTATCAGCGAGCCACAGTCAACTTTACGGATCTGAATAATGAAGAAAGCATTTATCTTCATCTTTCACTTGTGAAGAAACAATAGTTACACTGTCTCTTTTTCTTGACTGTTTTGAATAGATGAAATTTTGAAAAAAAACTCAAAAATTTGCGTTTTTGGACAAGCTATTTGTAAGCAAACGAAGCTTCGTTTGAAGAAATGAAGGACAGCGTTATTTAGAATAGTGTTCACATACTTGAGCAAAAAACTCATAATGATATATCTCGACATATCTTATTTTCAATTATCGTTGAAAATTCGATCTTCCCTTGGGAAGTAATATTATGTGTATTGAACCAATTTGAATCGAACAATAGCGTCTTGATTATAACTTTATTGGACATAAAACGAGATATGAATGAGAATTGGTGTAAATCGAATGGTCCTAACTATTTTTGATATAAATAAGAATTGTATTAAGTAGTAAGTTTTACTGTAAATAAACTTTGTAAAGCTATCAATCGATAAAGGAATTTAATATAAAAGAAACGATCATTTTTTATTTTTTCTTAATGATGCCTACAATAAAAAAATAGACGAAGTACTTGAAATAGAACTCCCTTTTAGAACATCACCTCGCTACTTAAAAATGTTGAGAAGTCTAATGGTAATAGTATGCTATCTATCGATTGAAAAACATGGAGATTTTAGTCATAGTTTTTATTATCAGTTTCAGCATTTTTATACGAGTCTTATAACGAGGATTGCAAAAACAACAATTTCAGGATGCTTTTCATTTGTTTTGATGACATTCGTTACGTTGTTGTCTGTGAACTTATATCAAACGTTGGATTCGACGCTGATCGTTGAAAAATACAGGGTAATTGAAAAGTTTCGACTCCTCTTAGAGAATTAAGGATATGTATGACAAACATATATGCAGTTCTTAAAAAAACGGCACTTCGAAATGCATGAATGTAGTCTTATGTTATGATTATTTTACTAATCTTCACTGAACCTTAAATTTCTTCCATTATATCAATAGTTTTTTGTTTGACATTTTCCTGTTTGCTTAAAAGTATTCGGTTTTGCGATGCACACTGGTGCTTCTTTTTATATAACTGTAAAGAACATTGGTAGAGAGAACTAACAGACATGCTTAAGAGTGCATTCTATAGGTATAGCTCATTATAATACATATTGAATTATTTATGATTGTCTTTATCTTTAATCGTATATCTTCGTCATTTTAACGACCACTTACACATTTCCAGGACTATTTAATAGTTATTCATAGCTATTTAATATCTATACAACTTATACATCTTTCATTGTCTGACTTATAATGGAAAAGATATTTGCAAAATATTCCATGTTACTATCAATTAACCTCACCAAGTATTTAGAGATTTCCATCTGTATTTATTAATAGTTCTCATCTCTTTAATAAACATTCAGCTACTCACTTACTCTTCCTGATTTGTTTCGAGCAGAGGCAAAAAAAATTGTTTTATGAGTAACTGTTGAATCTTCTGCAATCCTTTATCAATAAGAGTTTTTTTTGAGCATCACTCACAGTCAAAGGATATATACTGTATGTTCCCGTAGTCAAACTAAAAATTTCATCTTATCGGTCCCCAATAGTATGCATCGATTAAGATAATCATACTTTTAAGAGATCTGCAGTCGATGTCATGTGATCACACTTTAAAATTTCAAAAGTATTGTTTTCTTTCTTTTTGTATCATGGTTGAATATTGCTTGTCGGATCACATGAGAAAACACAATATCATACATATTGAAAAACAATTTTCTGAAAACAGCTAACATAAAACTTTTCTGCAATGTAAAAATAATGGACGCAAACGTCTGCATATTATAATATCGCTTTTAAATGTGCAGGACACTCTGTTTTTTTGGTATAACTCGTTCAGTTCTGTTCAGATATGACGAAAAAAGGAAAATCAATGCTTCTGAAAGTTTTAAGTGTGACAATTTTAATTATTTAAATTATTTATTTTTCGTTTTCTTCAATGATTACCGAATCTTCCAAATAACTACATTAATATTTTAATCATTTAGTAAGTATGTATGCAAAATGCTTAAATAGTTATTCTAATGTTTAAATAATGGTAGACGTTCAATAACTAGTTACACGAAGAAGTACAATAGAAAATTTTGTTAGAAATATATCAGCTATTCAAGTCATCACTAGCCGTATTATTTGCTTTTCAAAGTAGCTGTTAAGTCTTTTAAATATCTCTGATAATTTTTTAATAGTACTAGACTTTAAATACTTAGCTTGATAAATTATTAACTACTTAATCATTAAGTTCTTGTATATTATTCGAAAAAGTATCGATCTCTTTTGAGAAGCTACAAACTGGAAACAGTAAACTTTATGAAATAAGACTGTCACAATATGAGAGCCATTAACAATATGAATAGTGTTACAAAAACTATTATGAAATAAAACTTTTTAAAAGTTTTTCTCAAAAAATGTCAGATGAAAATATTCACCCAACGTTAGTAAAATAATCGTAACATAACACTACATTCATGTATTTCGAAATGTCTTTTTTTTATATGATAGCTCTAATTTTCCTCTACAAAAATATCGATTCCGATCAATTAACTATACATAGGTTTGTCACTGATGTCATCAATTCACTGAGACAGGTCGAAACTTTTGAAACACTCTTCAATACTTTCTATTTTTCAAGTTCTGAGTCGTCCAATACTAATTGTATCAGTAATGGGATAGCCAGATTTAGAGAAAAGTTTCAATTCTCAAGAGATACGTATTTATCTTGATTTAAAATAATACGTAGATAATACAGAGATGAATAAAATAGAGTTGAAGAGAAAAAAAAATCACGAAAATATACGTTTCAATATGTAAGAAAAGCTTGGACTCATAAAATAAATTTTTCACAAACTTAAAATAGTTGATATACTAAATTATGCTAAAGAGAGCAGGACTTATGACATCTTAACACATAGTGTCAACCTGAGATCGAACAAAAAAACCACTCATAAAAATGCGTTCCCTTTTCCTAACGAATCATATGACAATCTCAACTTTTATGCATAATCTATTTATTCCTATGAATAATGATTTTCATATCGGATGCTTTTATATAATAAGTATAAGTGATTGGTAGAGTTCAATAGTTTCAAAAAAACTGGAACCAAGCGAAACTTTGAATAGTTCAATTTCTCTCGCCCTGAGTCGAAACTTTTTTATTGATAATAGGGAGCTGATGTTTAAGTTTTGCATAATATTAAGCTGAACTCACTATTGAGTCAGTTTTTTTTATAATTGCCGTTTGATGACGGAACTCCAGTGGTATTGCATGAGGGTGTGGGGGTGTGGTATGGTTGTAAATCCTTCTCCAGCACCCACGCACCCACACCCAACCTAGAGTTTGAAAAAATAATAGTTCGAAGTTAGAAAGATTAATAAAAATTTAATGTATCCGGCATTAGACAGAGAGAGTAAGTTAAACTTATAATAACTTTAGCTGGTCTTTTATCCCGTCTGTTCATGCAACTCGGAAAGGTTTATTTTCAGCTTTAATATGTGCTACTACATGTTGAAACATCAGCTGTCAGTAGATCAATTAACGATATTGAATGTTAAGCATACTTTCTCGTGCAATGTATGTAAGATTTTGATTAACTTGCCTAGTTTTTTTCACCTTTTTATTGAAATCAGGATCAGATGCTTTTTTTTCATATTCATATTCTTGCTTAACTTTAATCGTTCAGACATGACAAGAATACTTTTGTTTCTGCAGAAAAATGTAAGATGTGAAATGCTTAGTCATATTTAATAAGAAAACCATAACTTTTCATGTTCTTAATGGAATTCGGACTACTATCTACGTATGTATTGTGTATAAATAAAATTGATTTATACAGAGGAGGAGTCGAAATTTTTGGATCACTCTTTNTTTTAGTTCTTTTTAACAATTGTGAAAAAAGAATAACTCAATTCAAACAATCGCCCAATAAATTTTGTCCAACGGAAATTGACTACTGCTGATCGTTATATCTCCAGTTTTACTACAACTCAACATTTAAAGGTGAAACTTTCTGTGGACATAGTATAAACAATGACTATTCTTTTGGAGCAAACCGCATCTCAAAAGTCAACTTTGTGAGAAAGTTTTACTCAAAACAAAATCGTCCAAACAATTTTGTCCACTATTGTATATCAAGCATTCTCAAATTTTAATCATCTTTTTCAACAACTGCTCAATTCTTCATGCCTTCTATTTAAAATTAAAGTCATTTATTCAACATCGGATGAAATATTTATGAATAATTATAAACAAATTATTCTTCACAATAAGCAACAAATATATGGGTAAATCCATGGAGATCCAACCACCGTTTTGGAAAAGTTTCTTTTTTCAGTTTTTTTCTCCATCAAACGGCTGATCCACTTCAGAAAACATTATTGATCAAAAAAAAATTAGCTTTCATTATCAAAATTCTGGACTTGCAGGTCAATTTCTCGGTACATGTCGAGATACATCGTAAAGGCCAGGTAGCTCAGCTAAAGCGCTCTACGGGTAATGCAAAATACCGTTCTTTGGTCAACTTTTTATGCTGAATCTTACGGAAGGGTCTAAAAGCATTTTTGAAATGAAAAAAAAAATCATTCATAAGGAGAGTCTGGAATTCTAGGGCATTTTTGTGGAAAAGTAGATATATAGACTGTATTTCATCAGCGAAAGTAACCACCAATCGCTAATATCTTAAAATATATTTTCACTTTGATTACAAAATCTTCTGACAACTGAGATTGCTGAAAACTGTCAGCCAGTGTTTTCCGAAAAAACTCCGAAAAACAATGTACATCAAAAAGAACTTCATTTAAACGAAAATGTGGTTACTTGTGTTGATCGAGAGGTCGGTCGACATTGAACTGTGTTGTTGTTGATAGGTTGGAATTCATGCATATTTCGGATACCATTGATCATGCCTAACTGGAAGGTGTAACTATTTGATAGAAAATAGTTTGACTTACCTGAAGAGCGAAGTTGTTCACTTCTGACTTTAATAACTCTCTCTTTGACCTGTTCGACTTCTGCAGAATCTAAGAAGAAAACATGTATACCAGGATTTTGTTTATTTGAATTGCTGGCGGTTTGCAACTGATGCTTGAGAGAAAATTCATAGAAATCCTTCGCAGTGGACAAAAGAATATTCTTGGAAAGTGTGGCACGTCTTGCAGTGGACTTCAACATTGCACCGATGCCATCGCCTGCTGCTTTACCGTGTCCGGTTACTGTAAATGCCCAACAAGCATCCAAAGCAAAGTCATTCCTGTGATGAACATGATTTAGAATGCTCGCATTATTCTTAAAATGAGCAGTTGCGCCATCGCTAAGAGAATTAAGAAAGTCAGCATATACATAATAAACAGTCATGTAAGTTTCTGTGTGATATAGATGAGACTTACCCAACGTAATTGACTTTTTTGACCAAAGGATAATTCTTTTTTATGAACTGAGTGAGAATTTTCTGTGCACAATAGACAAACGCTGTTGTGTGTTCCAGGTGATCACTAATTATCGCTAAGTTGCGCTGCTCTTGTCCAATAGTCAGATGAATAGTGAAAAATGTGACTTGATGATGGCTGAAGAAGCCCTGTTGCACCTCACGCTGGCGGATGAATGTGTAGTTCATCGAGAAGTCGGTATGAGCGACGATAAATGTTTTGTTCGTTGACTGGCTGCGCAATTCCTTGATATAATCACGTTGCTGTCTGTTATAATAGGTGTGGATAAGAAATGCTGGCCAACTTTCTTCGATCGTAGTTAGAAGAGAATCAACTGAACCGATTATGTGTTGGAGGTCGAATTTGTTTTTCATTTTCTTCCACATCGTCCACGAACATTCATCGTCGATGCCAATGATACTGTTACCGATGAGAATGTCGATAATTGCTTCTTCTGGGCAGTTCTCACATGTTTCATTAAAGCAATCTTCTGTTTCAGTCGTGCAAATCATTCGAGAGATGAGATCCTTTAGATTGAACTTGCCATCGTTTCCAGTAGAAGTATTTTTAATATACTTTTGATAATAGCTGTTCCAAGCCTATTATGAGTCGGACATTAGAAGTGAATCAATATCATTACAATAGGCACAAACCTTTAATAGAAGATCCATGTTTTCATGGGTAGTGCACGCCCAGTGAAAAAAAGTCAGATTATACGTGATTTTGTGAGATTATCATCGGATTTTTCTGCAACAAAATCCAAATTATAATTGATTGAAATTTTCCAAATCACAAATAATCTGATTTTTAATCAAAAATAATTCTTCGAAATCAAGAATACTTTAGATTTTAATCAAATTACATTGGATTTTAATCAAAATTTTAATTGATTTCGAAAAGTTTTTTTTAATCCGAAATAATCCTCAAAATCAATTAAAATTTTGATTAAAATCCAATGTAATTTGATTAAAATCTAAAGTATTCTTGATTTCGAAGAATTATTTTTGATTAAAAATTAGATTATTTGTGATTTGGAAAATTTCAATCAATTATAATTTGGATTTTGTTGCAGAAAAATCCGATGATAATCTCACAAAATCACGTATAATCTGACTTTTTTTCACTGGGGTACATACATGTTTCATGTGGTGAGGCTATTTTGACTTCTCGAGGTCGAAGTGAGTTAAAAGTCGATCGTGCTACAGCTTCAGGATATCGTCCGTTGAATATTCGATAAGCATCTAAGACTGTCATTTCCATAAATCGAACCTGTACCGGTTGTTTATTGATGAGGATCGTGTCTTTGGCATTAGATGACACTCGACTTATACCATCTTCGCAGTAAAATTTAACCACAGCGTCAAATGTTGCATCGGATAAAGGCAAATTTCCTTGTAAACACTGTGGATAAGCTAAGACCCCCTCGTTTTTTCTCAGAACGAGTGATCGGCGAGCCTGGTTTTGTCCTGAATTAAACCTAACAATAGAAAAATGCCAAGTGAAAGATAATCAAATAAAATGATGATTACTGATGGAAAAGCTGTTAGCGCAATCCCTTGCGGGATTAAAAATGTGAAAAACGATGGCTCTATTATTACTAATTAAATGCAAATCCTTTTCTTCCATTACGTTGCGATACATTTGTAGCTAACCGTTAATCTGATGCTTTACAACTACAGTTTCTCTGTCACGGTCTGTGATGGGTACCTGGCTTCTCTGTCACGATTTATGATGAGGGAATTACCTGTCTGTAACGGTCTGTGATGGGTACCTGGCTTCTCTGTCACGATTTATGATGGGGGAATTACCTGTNTGCCGTCGTCGGTGTGTTGCGTTGGTGTTGGCGGTCCTGGGCGGGCGGGGGGGGGGGGGGGGGGGGGCAAATTTCTACCCCTAAACACTTCAACACTCCTTTCAGATCGTGTTTCACAAAATACTAAGGATAAACAACTTACTACTTTTCGACTTGTTTTCGGCCCCATTGTTGAGGTGCAATTGTCATCAGACGGACTTGTTCTTTATCATCGCTTTCATCGAAGAAACCTTTTCAGGCCATCCAAAGGCTCGTTTGGTTCACTAATCAACAGATTATGTGGATTTGCATTGCGTTGATCTTGAGGTTTTCCTTCTAACACATCGCATAATCCATGAAGATATCTGTATACTTCATCGATTTTAGCACGAATGGGACGAACAGCCACCCTAAGAATAAGAACATTTACAGAAAGCCGAGAACTTAGTGAGCGATTTACTTGTTGTGAATTGGATTTATATTCAATAATCGGAAGACAGTGGATAATTTTTCTATTGCTTCATTTTGGTGATATTCAAGATTATAAGAACCATCATCTGATTCTTCATCCGTTGATTCAGCATCAGTTTCTTCATCGTTGTCTTTTGTCTCAACTTTCATGTTGTCATTCATGTAAACATTATCCTCATCTTCTTCATCATCATCTTCACCAGAAGAAATATCTTCTACCGCATATTCATCGTCAGTGAGGCTTCGATTGTTGTTGATTTGCATTGGTTGATGAATTTTCATTTCATTTGATTCCAATGTATGACATCTATGACAGAGCCAATGAACACGAGTGTCCGTGATATCATATCGACTGATTAAAAACATGGATAATTTCAATGAGACTGCTCTAACTCCTTTTGCTCTTGATGTAGACGTTGCGTGTCTCGATGGATGTTGGCAATATTTTGGTCTCGGCATTGAGTTTGTACAAAAGATAATAGAGAAATAATTCTGGTGAACGATCTATTCTATACGATATCCTGTGACCCATCCGGCATTCGTATTCGTTTCAATCTAAACTTTTCGTGCATGAGTCTCCATACTTAGATGTCCTTGTGTGACAATCTTTAGTTTTATCACCCTTACTTCTTGTTCCGTTTGATTGAACAAAGTATCGACGTTTTCATTCAAAGTTATTGCCTGACAATCGTAACAAATGCCAAGATAAAAGGGCTAATCACGTAATGGTATGGTTTATCTAATTAGAAACAACCCAAGACTGCGATCAAAACTATCCAGATCAGCTATCAGCGGAGGACACCTGCGCAAAAAGGTATTTGCTAGAATTGCTTTAGTGCGTGATGCAAGAGAGTGGAGACATTGCGCATCAATAAGATATTTTAAGATATTAGCGATTGGTGGTTACTTTCGCTGATGAAATACAGTCTATATATCTACTTTTCCACAAAAATGCCCTAGAATTCCAGACTCTCCTTATGAATGATTTTTTTTCATTTCAAAAATGCTTTTAGACCCTTCCATAAGATTCAGCATAAAAATTTGACCATGGAACGGTATTTTGCATCATCCGTAGAGCGCTTTAGCTGAGCTACCTGGCTTTTACGATGTATCTCGACATGTACCGAGAAACTGACCTGGAAGTCCAGAATTTTGATAATGAAAGCTAATTTTTTTTTGATCAATAATGTTTTCTGAAGTGGATCAGCCATTTGATGGAGAAAAAAACTGAAAAAAAGAAACTTTTCCAAAACGGTGGTTGGGTCTCCATGGATTTACCCATTATTGTTTTGAATTTATTGTTACATCAAAGAGTAGACAACTCATCAAAAGAAAAATAATGAGAGGAACACTTTAGAGCCGGAGCCTGCACCGGACGCAGAAATTTTGAGACGGAGCCGAAGTCGAGAGCGATAGGAGCTTCCCAGTTCTCTACTGTATATATTCGACTATTTCTGTTACGAATGTAACATTAGCTAAAAATTCAATAGACAAACACATGACTATGATTCCAGTGACTTCTTGTTACATGGGAACAGAAATGGTATGTCACTTTTCACAAATAAATGACATCATGCAAAATGTTAGACACACCTATCTCTTCTTCATCGATCATCCCTCAAAGAAAATTTTTATATAAGCCTTCCATTACGCTGTTGTTAGCCGTCGTTGAATCAAACCACTGTTCCATGTTAACAGTCATGTGAGAGTATCTGAGTAGCCGTAACCTAGTGCAGAAAGACGCTAAACTGTTGGGTAAACGAAGGAGAGACCTTCTTGAACGCATAGCAGAACATTCATTTCCTCAGCGATATAGCATTTTATTCATCAAAACTAAAACGCATTCCAATTTTTCTGTGCTTCAGCGAGGTGTTTTCGGTACAATTGGAGATGAGGATGATTTTCTGGCAGCGAACGTTGTCCAATTTCCACAGCGCGTTCGTAAAATGAGATTGCTTTCGAATACTCTCCCATGTGGTCATGGATCTGACCGATGTTGTTGTAGCTTTGAGCCAAATCTGGATGATCTGAAGGGAGCGAGTTTTGTCGGATATCAAGGGCCTTTTGCTGAAACTCAAATGCTTTCGAGTACTGCCTCATGTTATCATGCACCAAACCGATGTTCTTATACGTAGTAGCCAAACTGAGATGATTCGAAGGAAGCGATTTTTCGTCGATTTTCAGTGTCTTTTGATAGAAATCGAGTGCTTTCGAGTAATCTCCCATGTTGTAATGCACCAAACCGATGTTGTTGTAGGTAGCAGAGAAACTTGGATGATTTCGGGGGAGAGATTTTTGGATGATTTCAAATGTCTTTTCATAGAACTCGAGTGCCTTCGAATACTCTCCTCTGTTCAAATGCACCACACCGATGGAATTGTAAGTGCTGGCTAAACCTGGATGATTTGGTGGGAGAGATTTTTGTCGGATTTCAAGTGTCTTTTGATAGAACTCGAGTGCTTTCGAATATTCTCCCATGTTGTAATGTACCAAACCGATATTGTTGTACGTAGTAGCCAAACTGAGATGATTCGAAGGGAGCGATTTTTCGTCGATTTTCAGTGCCTTTTGATAGAAATCGAGTGCTTTCGAGTAATCTCCCATGCTGTCATGCACCTGACCCATGTTGTTGTAGGTAACAGCCAAATCCGGATGATTTGGAGGGAGAGATTTTTGTTGGATTTCAAATGTCTTTTGATAGAACTCGAGTGTTTTCGAGTACTCTCCCATTTTGTAATGGATCTGACCGATATTGTTGTAGGTAGCAGCCAAATCCGGATGATTTGAAGGAAGAGTTATTTGTCGGATTTCAAGTATTTTTTCATTGAAATCAAGTGCTTTTGAGTACTCTCCTATGTTGTCATGCACCAAAGCGATGTTGTTATAAGTAGTAGCCAAATCTGGATGATTTGGAGGGAGAAACTGTTGTTGGATTTCAAGTGTCTTCTGATAGAACTCGAGTGCTTTGGAGTACTTCCCCATGTTGTCATGCACTTGACCAATGTTGTTGTAAGTAATAGCAAAACTCGGATGATATGGAGGAAGAGATTTTTGTCGAATTTCAAGTGTCTTTTGATAGAAGTCGAGTGCTTTCTGGTACTTTCTCATCTTTAAATGCACCGTGCCGATGGAGCTGTAGGTAATAGCCAAATCTGGATGATTTGGAGGGAGAGACTTTTGTCGGATTTCGAGTGATTTTTGATAGAACTCTAGTGCTTTCGAGTGCTCTCCCATTTTGTAATGGATCTGACCGATATTGTTGTCGGTAATAGCCAAGCTGGGATGATTGGGAGGGAGAGATTTTTGCCACATTACCAGTGTCTTTTGATAGAACTCCAGTGCTTTCGAGTACTCTCCCAACTTGTAATGCAACAAACCGATGTTGTTGTAGGTAGCAGCCAAACTGGGATGATTGGAAGGAAGCGACTTCTGTCGGATTTCAAGTGTATTTTCATAGAAGTCGAGCGCTTTGGAATGGTCACCGATATTTGAATGCACGCCACCAATGTTTTCGTAGACAATAGCCAAACTGGGATGATTTGGAGGTAGAGAGTTTTGAATGATGTCAAGTGTCTTTTCATAGAACTCGAGTGCTTTTGAATGCTGCCCGATGCTTAAATGCACCCCACCGATGTTGTTGTAGGTAGCACCCAAATCCGGATGATTTGGAGGGAGAGATTTTTGGTTGATTTCGAGTGTCTTTTGATAGAACTCGAGTGCTTTAGAATACTCTCCCATATTATGATGTACCCCACCGATGCAGCTGTAGTTTTTAGCCAAATCTGGATGATTTGGAGGAAGAAACTGTTGTTGGATTTCAAGTGATCTTTTATAGAACTTGAGTGCTTTCATGTACTCTCCCATGTTTAAATGCACCAAACCGATATTACCATAGGTAGTAGCCAAGCTAGAATGATTTGGAGGAAGAGATTTCTGTTGGATTTCAAGAGCCTTTTGATAGAACTCCAATGCGTTTGAGTGCTCTCCCAGGTCGTCATGCACTAAAGCGATGTTGTTGTAGGTAGTAGCCAAACTGGGATGATTTAGAGAGAGTGATTTTCGTTGGATTTCAAGTGTCTTTTGATAGAACTCGAGTGCTTGTTTATACTCTCCTTTGCCACTTTTGAACCTTCCAAGACCACAATATAGGGAAAGAAGTTCTTCTTCATCGTCGATTGATGTGTCTTCCAGTAGTATCTGATACACTTCTTCGGCCTTTTCGAAATTTCCCATTTTCATCAACAATTTACCCAGTTGATGCCACCCTGTTCCTCCGTGCGTTTCTTTTCGTATGTATTCCGTCAGTCGTTTCAGATCTTGATCGTCGTCCACAGTGGCCAATACAAGTTCTACCCGCCAGAGACGATTTTCAATTGGTGCAACATGAACGATTCGAAATACCGTGTGCATCGAGAATAGAATTTCGTTTTCTTCGGCGAAGTTACTTAGATTATGCAAAGAGGCAAACGGAATGGATGTGAGAGCAGGATCGATTTTGATTTCAAATCGAAGCGCGGTCATATCGGGATCGATCGGTGCCACTTCAGAGAACATGAATGACACTTCTGGATCGGTACTGGTCGATAAAAAGTTATTGAATGAGAGTAGGCCACCTTTGCTGTTGAGCAGCTTCTCGAACTCACTATTGTGCATCCTTTGGCCTCGATAGACAGTCAGTGGGACTCGAGTGTTCGATTGCTGGGCGTGTAGCTGTTCAATCTGTCGATGAAGATCACGTAGGAAGAAGCCCATCTTGATCACAATATTAGTCTCCATAGTTCTCAAAGCTCGATTGAGCATTGAATAGATAAAAACCTCTGTACTGTACCAGAAAATGGCTAAATGAGGATTATAATCTCGCTCGAATTCATCGATGATTCTCAACTGAGACGCATTATTATGATACTGCTCGCGCAACAGTCGAGCAAAGTCTTCCTTTGCATGTTCGTCGTAATCAATATCGAGTAAGATCTCTTTGAGTATTTGTGAGTACATAAACAATGGTGGGAGTTCATTTAAATTTTGTTTTGAGTAATCACCTGGAGAGAGAATACTGATGGGATCTAAGTCGTGGTCACATTGTTTGGCGTCTTGCTTGAGTAAGTTACAAATGGGTTCGATTTGAGTGAAGAGTCCTTTGACTTTTGTCCACTCGTCCGTCAACACCTCATGTTTAGTCTCGTCGCCGCAAAATACATAAATACAGTAGAGTTGAGATATGTTATGGATGATGGGAATGAGCTGTTGACCGAGAGCACCCGACACAATCATGAAGACTTTTTCATCTTTCATTTCAGTGAGAGAATCAATACATTGGTCAGCATCGATGAATATATCGATTGTATTGACGATGTGTCGGAGTTGAGTGATCGTATTACGATAATCGTCATCGGACTCATTGATGTTTGAGTCTAACCAAATGAGAACAAAATTCTGAACGATGAAGCGATGTCTTGAACGTGACGAAGCATGACTCTTGTTGCCAGGTGTTTCTAGGTCACATGGTAATTGGTTCTTTCTATAGGCAATTTTTGATGAGTTCAGCATTGTTGGAGTTTTCCGGCAGTGAAAATGGTCGGTTTGATTGAAATTATTCATTTCCTGTGTGTTGCATTGTGCTGCTTTTTTCTATGGTGACGAACAGTTTTTTTTACACTGAAAGAAATGAAAGTAATCATGTACGCAAGAGTAAAACAATGACGTTAGACGTAATGCTGTATGCTGTTTAGAACCTTTCATCTGTATAACATTTCTTCAAATTTCTGGCATCGAATTGCCTTTTTTTATATATAGAGGTCGTAGAATTTCAATTCTTGAAATAGAGAATTCCTTCCAGGAATATGAGAAAAATAGAAGAACTATTTTAAATATAAGAATGGGATACCAATCAAGCTAAAATCAGGCAGAAGTTTCGGTGAAAATTGATGTTTCTTCTTCATCATACTTAGTTTTCTGGAGAACCTGTTTTTTTTCAAATTTCTGATAGAATGTGGGAATTTTTTTTCGAAAGTCAACTACCATAGGAAGAGAACATCTGTTTTAGCTCAAAGTCTTAATACATTCTAAGAATGATCGTAGCTAGTTAGGGACAAAATTTCTGGTCGAAATTTCACTAGTTGTTTTTTTTTTGGAGATGCTTGTAATAAATAAATCGAAGATTCAAAAGAACACTTATGATTTTATACCATGATAAAAGAAGTGGCTAATCTTTCGAGATTATTCACAGTTCATTGAGTACTACTGAATGCACACAGTCTCGCTTCAAGAGTGGTTTAAGACTTAAGAAGGGTTCGTCAAACCTAGGGTGTGGATGTGGGTGTAGATGTGAGTAAAAAAAAGAACTATACGCACGCCTACACTCACACCAAGCCAAGGCTATTATGACGAGGCTGTGGTTGTGGTTGTGGACGTTAATGAAGAAACGATCCACATCAATCCCAAAATAATACGAAGAGTTTTTGAGTAGCAATTTTATTAAATTTTAAATGTGCATTTTAATTAGTTTAATTTAAGAATAAATTAGACTGTACAAATGTATTCTAGTTGTAATTATAAAATGAATTAATTTAATTTAAAATGAAATAAAATCATGATACTTATAAGAATTATTTTCTCTTTAATTTTGAGAAATCTTTAATTTATTTAGCACACGACATTTCTTTGGATTCTTTTATTTTTTCTAAAACCAACCTAACGAAAATACTTCTTTTTAAATTTAAAAAAATAGTCTTATTTGAACTTGTATGCATAAGTTTGTATTGGAGTAAAAAATTCCCTTTTATCCACAGGACAGTTTTAAAAAAATATCTCTAAAATTCGATTAAATAGTGTGTAAAAATGTTTCCCGACATGTAGAAGTTGAGTTTTCGATCATATGATCCAATCGTCCAAACGGTAGGTACAGAACGGATCTTTCTCTCGAAAAAAAATAGAAAATACATGTGTGATGATGCCCGTCAATGACGAATCCGGGACGGGTTCACGGACGTTCGAAACCTTAGACTAGTCGTAAATTAGGACTTTTTGAGGCAAAAACTAGACAGATCGAGCCAACATCGATAGAAGAAATACTCAATATTTTGCCCATAGCTTGCTCACTCGGCAAGAACGAAAAGTAAAATGTATGTACTGTCGCCACCCACAGAACAGAAAAAAAGAAAAATCCTAAATAGGATTTAAAAATATTGTTGATTATTTGGTTATCAAGCATTTCTTTTGCACTTTGTAAGTAAGGCATTATGTGTGTGCGCAGCTAGACAAGTGGGAAGAGGAGAAGGATGAGAAGACCAAAACATGCACGTATGTTTTGCTCGCTCGATGTGTCGGAATCAACAAAATTCGAAAGTAAACTGCACAAAAAACATTATTCAATAATTATTTGTTAGTTTTGTCGTAGGATGTCATCAACGATACTACTATCTGACCGTCTTGTCACAAATAATAATAAATAAAATAGGTTTATTTCATAAATCATTTAATAGATACCTTATAAATATTCTATCACTATTGCAACTGAAATCGACGGACTTGAATAAAAAGATACTGCATATATATACATACACAAATATGGTGTCGTAGTAGATAGATATGAAAAGCTAATGAGTTGGAAAATACAATAAAAAAATGATTCTTTGTTTTTTATTTTTATTCCCTTTTTTAAAGAAAGGGTTATACGACAGTAAATGCGCTTAAATGAGTTCGTCCAAACCAATCAGAAAACAGTATGGGCTAGACCTGTAGCAATAGCTTTTATTAGCCGTTGAAAATCTTGACTAAAAATTATTTTGAGCGCGGAATCTGAACCCGAGATCAGTTTTTGTCATAATATTGATATTAATTAATAGGCAATACGATGTTAAAATAGATTGACAGATAGAATAGACTTGAAACCGACATATCTCATGTAAGAAAAGACGGAAAAAACACCTGATTTCAAACGATTTTTTTTCGTCTTTTCTTTTTTACGTCGGAAAGGTCTTTATTTCGTTTTGCTTCATTTTATCGTTTACAAACTAGTACAACAGTATATAAAATCAGTCAACATAGTGTTGAGGTTAATTATATGAGGATTATCACCATCACTTTTGTGAAACAAAATCCAAGTTATATTCGATTATAGTTTTGATTATGTCTAATGTTCCAATAATAAGGGCACTAAATATGTTTAAGTTCTATCGGTTCAATGATGTGAGAGTATTTGGCCACGATGCGGTTAGAAACTCTGATCTCATGAACGATAGCATAGCTACCTGCTCACTCTGTCATCTATTTACTGTTTCCTCTCTTTTGATTTTTCTCTCCTTCCTTGTTCCCTTTGTCGTACATAAGCTTGTATTTTATGTGAAGAAGACACAAATAGAGTGATGGAGTAGTGTAGTGAACATTTATGCCGAGGGTAAAAGTAACGCTACTCCTCCAGTTTGTCATCATTGATCACAACAAAATACGTATTTCAATAATAACAACATAAAACATCATATCTCTCTGTCTCAGTTTCATTACACATAGAATTTTGAAATTTGAATCAACTGTAATCGCAAAAATTTTCCTCTGAATATCACCCAGAAACAAGACCAAAATCGACTTGATTTCAACTACCCGAATACTTTTTTCGTGAGAACTTTTTTCCAGCAAGATAAGCATGTCAATCGTTGACGTTCATCCGATTGCTGCATTCTTTGATCGATGCTAATACACAAGATCGAAAAGACTGTCTTTTGTGAAAACCGTTCGCTATGTGTTACATGTGAAAAATCAGAACGCTTCTCCTATTCTGTGAATAAGGGCTTTCTGTTTTCATATTTAAATATTAGATTTTAACACAATACATCGACATTCAAATAGGTTCTTTTTCGGTACGTCTGTATCATCGAAAAAATTCTAATATAATTTCTTGAATTCGCTGTTATGTCTCCTTTCTAAGAATGAAAATCGTGTCTTCGACTATTGATACTCTCAGTGAAATGTACGCATAGAAAAAGTTATTCTATTTAACGTTGTTTCCAGTAAGACTGTTTTATGCATAAGAGATACTTCAATCAAGGCAATCGATTGCACATTCTAAGTGCCATCAAGGGGAGCTCTCTTAAAATTACTTCATGGGCACCAACATGCCACATGTCTATGTCCCATTGTTTTTTCTTGCTTTTAGACTACTCTTCACTTTTAACTATCATTTTATTACTAATCTAATAATATTGGCAACTAAATTTACTTACGTACAAGGTAATACTGAAGTGTACAGATTCTGTCTTGTTTGCTTGCAATCGATTTTACTCTGTATTTATCACTGAAAACATTACTTGGTTTTTTCCCACAAACGTATGTTTACGTGAATCAATGGAGCATGAGTTTCTCATCACATAGACGGTTCTTTTTCATCCATGTGCTCGTCATCGCATGTATTTCATTTTCTCATATATTCTCCCTCTTTTTTTTACTTAGCGTTGCGTTTCGTGTTGCTGCGATGAGAAAATATACAGTGATATTTGCGTATGCGTAAAATTGAGTTATAATGATTCACTGGACTCTCAACGTCATTCTAATCTACGCAAATATTTTCTATTGTTAAATCTCTTTTTTTAAACTGATGATCACACAAGCAGTGTCGAACGCTTCTAAATAAATAAATGAAAAATTTCATATTTTTTCTTTTATCTTTCGGTTTATCAAAAACTCTCTATACAACTCAAACTAAATTAAATACATCCGAAGAAAGTATGGCGAATGTACGTTAAGACGATTCAGACATGTGGGTGTGGGTATAGATGCAGAAAGAAATTATACCCACACCCTCGAACCTTGACACCATCATACATAGAATTTCCTTGGACAAGTTACTAATGGCTCTTAGTCTCGAAGCACCCGTCCGATAGCTTACTGACTACGTGGTTGACATACACAAAAAGGCTCTTTGTAGCTAGTAGTATGTGGTCAGTTAGAATGTACGGTGAGCTTAAAAGATTAAGCGGAAGAACTCTGAATCAGATCTGCCTTGTGTCCAGAGTCGCAGCTTGTACTAATTGTAGGAAAAATATCGGGCTTTCGAAACAATTTCCCGGCAGCACCCTATACCACAAGGTAGCCGAAAGGCACGGTATTCTTCTTCTTCTTTTTCACTCAAACTCACATCCACACCATCGTAAGACAACAACTCAACTTTGATTTTTTTGCAACAATAAAGTCTTTGATGGAAAGGCCTCTTAAAGTAACACTATCATATCAAGTGTTGGAGTCCTGTAACACTCGTGTTGAAAGCGTCATAGAATCGAGTAAAAAAATATCTTCCTTAAATATTGATATGTACTCTCCAACATCACATATATAGATGCATTCTTTATTTTTATCATTGATGGTAAAGTGAAACATTAACGTCTTTTTAACATTGTGGTGTGTGCTTGACTAACGACAATGTGGTTGGCAATTATTTTTTATACATTATTACTATATATTATTTATCGTTTGATCAAATTCTGGATCATTAATCTATGAAGCGTTCAACGATACTTTTCGAATCAAGGCATTCCTGGACGATATATACCAATAGTTGGTGATATATTACATCAACGTCGAGCCTGTCTCGCCGATAAACCATTCAGTTATGTTGAAGAGACAACTGTTGAATTTGGTGATTACTATCATACATCATTCGGTCCATTTCCTTGTTTGAATACAAGTGATCCAACACTGATAGAAAGTGTTTTAAAAATAAATAGTCGATTCTATCATAAATCTGAACTTTCAAGAGCCATTGCTTCAACCGTATTGGGCTATGAAAATATTGTATTGGTCGAAGACGAAAATCATGCACGACATCGACGATTAATTAATCCAATTTTTCAACATCAAACTATCAATTCAATGATATCACTCATGATTGATATTACATTAAGTTTTTTGACAAAATGGCAAATCAATACAGTTGATAAAGCTTATCCATTGATATTCGACATATCGAAAGAGATGTCAAATCTAACATTGGATATTATAACTGGCTGTGTATTTGGTAACGAAGCAATGAAAGATATATGAGCCATTCCACGTAAGCCACGACTGAAAGTGCTCAATCAATATTCTAAGATTTGGCTCATTTTTACATATATGATAGAGGCAAGTGTTTGATGACTTTTGGTGAAAGCCGCTTCGCAAAATATTGAATCGTTCGTTTTTTATCGCAGTTTTACTGAAAGTACTATAAATCGTTATAAAACGAATTTTCACGAGGGACGATTTTGGACACTCCAGAAAATCAACAAAACATCAATCGTTTGAGTTGAAATTTTTTGTACATTACTACTTAACTAAGTTCTACATGTACCATAAATTTCAGCTCAAACAAATGAGTGGTTGGTATTTTATGGATTCCACAATTCGAGGAAAAATTACTTTTTTGACCAATTTTCGCTGCTGATATGTCCCGATTAGAAAATGATATGGACCTGAAACTTTGAACACAAGCATATCTTGATGCTAACTAACTACTGTATAAATTTCAGCTCTCTAGAGCGAAGTATTCCTGCAGAACAACTTTAAAAAAAATCAATTTTTTGTCAAAAAGTGGATTTTTGACCTCGATTTTCTCCCAAAACAAACACCAACTTTTTTACTCACCTATACAGCATGAAAGACCCCACTTTGGTCTACAACCTGGCATAAAAATCAGCTTGGGACGCACACAAGCCGTGGTGAAATTAATCGATCTTTTTGCAAAAAATGAATTTTTACGAATTTCATGTTTGGCACCCTAACTTTTCCGAATATCTCGTGAATGGTTCGTTCAAGAAAGTTGAAATTTTCAGGAATAACAGACCTCAGATTATGAAGTAAAACATGTGTTGCAGTCAAGTTTCCATAATGCTTGGATTCATGGGCTACTCGAATCGTATTGGATGAAAATGAACCTAGTCATTTTTCTCCTATGGTTTCTTTTACGCTCAATCCGATCGAACTAAAACTTTTCTCATACGTAGTTGATTTTGTTTAGAATGCTTTCAGTTATTTTTCAGCCCTCAAGAAACTTCCTTCTGACCAAGGCAAAATTCAAGGGTTCGAAGAATCTTGAAAGGTTTTTCTCTGTGATCTATAATGCGCCAATAGTATGTCATACTTGAGCAGATCAATACTTTTGAAGAATTTGTAGGGTACATCATAGAAAGTATCAATTTTATTAAGAAAATGGATGAAGAAATGTTCTCGGTGTCTCATAAAATTAAGAAATTGATTTTTGTTGCTCTCCGATAGATTATGCATAAGATAAAAAGTATAGGAATTAGTAGGTATTACAACTGAAACGAGGATCATGGACTCACTGTAAGGTGAAGAGAGTTTAGAGATTTTCATTGACAGCATTGTTTGATGATGAAAACTGCATATCGTACGAAGAAGGATAGGTAAATTTTAACTTATTAAAGGTATGAGAGGAAAAAAAGAAAGAAATCTTGTGATAGATGTGTGAAGATCAAGTGTGAAAGGATCAAGCAGATTAACTGGAGTTTTCATAGTGGGCTGATGAGTTGAAGACTTTGATGATGTTTCAAAATATTCGTAATACATCTGTGAAAAACGAAACTAAGAGCTATAATAGATCAATCCCAAGCTGACCCGTTCTGAATTTCCTAAATAGTCTAAATCAATCATTGAACTTTTTTTAGGTTGGTATTGTTATTATGGTTTATTTTATTAGATTAGTATTATAAATCGTCACTTAAAAAAAACCTTTTTTTCATTCAAAAGTTTGAATATATGAATCATATATCAATTTTGTCAGCAGAAGAATAGTAAATGACGAAAAATATATTACTTAACTATTTTTATTTCGTAACTGACTATTAAGTTATCTTGTTGCAAGACAAGATTAACATATACCACTTAAAACTAATATGATTGTTGTTTTGCGTTATGCTCGTTTTGCGTACTATAACAGCAAGACGCTTTATCGAAGCATGAATAAATGAACTGGACAGAACGACAAAATATACGCATAATATTCACGTATACTCAAAAGGACAAAAAAAGACCTTTGCTCAAGCAACACAATGAACTTTCTTCTTTCTTCTCTTTTTGCACTACAATGAGGTATTATATGTTGTATTGTTCATAATGCATTGAGTAAGAGCGCATTAGGAGAACAAGAGATAAAAAATTCAACAAAGGGTACAAAAAATGTTGTTTTATTTTGAACATATAAACTGACCGTTATACGAACTCTTCGAAAAGATAAATTTGTATTCTTATTGTTGAATAATACAGAAAAGATTACGGGAATAAGTCGCAGTATATAAAGGCTAATTCAAAAAGAAAATACTATTCATAAAAAATGGCTGGTCAAGATGCTTCTCGCTATCAACCTGGTCGTGGTTTGCCACCGTATTTACTATCACGAAACTATGCAGATTCAAGCACAGACAGCGATGGAGCATCGAGAATATTTGCAGCGTCAAGCTGTTCTACCGTGAGGGCCGAAAAAAGCCTGGACTTTTTTATTTTTACACATAAACGAATAGCAAGGATATTCNTAGCCAACTTGTTATGCTGCATCTCATGGAAGCGTTAAAAAAAGATATTGACAAAGAAAAAAATTACCATTTGTAAGCAGAATCATGAGTTCTAGGATATATTTTGGAGAGCGAGATATATAGGGTTTGTCGTCAACGCAAGTGCCGAAAAATTGATAATCTTTTCGACTACTTTTCAATTCTATTTGAGAGGATCTTACTACTTCTGAGAGTGCTGGAAACTTCCAGTGAGTTTCTTGGAAAAAATATTCGATCAACGAATAACATATAAAAAAGGTTTTGCTAGAACGAAAATGTGATGGCTTGATTTGATCGAGAAGTCGGTCGACATTGAACTGTGTCGCGGTTGATAGGCTGGAATTCATGCAGAGTTCGAATGTTAGGGATCATACCTAGATGGAGACAATAGATATTAAATTACAAGAGGATTTATTTACGTGAAGAGAGAAGTTGCTCATTTCTGGTTTTTATAACACTGCCTTTGACGAGTTGTACTTCTTTCGAATCCAATAAAAAGACATGTATACCAGGCTCTTGTGTGTTTGATCTGTTACCGGTTTCAAGTTGATTCTTTAGAGAAAATTCATAAAAACCTCTTGCAGTTGACAATAGAATATTCTTTGAGAGTGTGGCACGTCTGGCAATGGACTTCAACACTGCACCGATTCCATCACCGGCACCTTTGCCATGTCCAGTAGCTGTGAATGTCCAACATGCATCGAGACCAAAATCAGTTCTGTGATGAACTAGGTTTATGATGCTTGCATGATTTTTAAAGTGGGCACTTGCACCATCACTAAGAGAATAAAATTAGCATATATGTAAGCATTCATGTAAGTTTCCGTGTGATATAGATAGGGCTTACCTTATATAATTAATTTTCTTTACGTAGGGGAAATTCGTCTTTATAAATCGGACGAGAATTTTTTGTGCACAATAGACAAAAGCTGTTGTATGTTCCATGTGGTCACTGATTATCGCTAAGTTGCGATGTTCTTGTCCAATAGTGAGATGAATAGTGAACAAAGTAGCTTGATGTTGACTGAAGAATCCCTGTTGAACTTCACGCTGGCGGATAAGAGTATAGTTCATTGAAAAATCAATTTGGGCGACGATAAAAGTCTTATCCGTTGATTGACTACGCAGCTCTTTGATGTAATCACGCTGCTGTCTATTGCAATATGTGTGCAGGAGAAATGTTGGCCAGCTGTCGTCAATCGTGGTGAGAAGAGAGTCGACTGAGCCGATAATGTATTGAAGATCGAATTTGTTTTTCATCTTCTTCCACAATGTCCACGAACATTCATCGTCCATATCGATGATGCTGCTGCCGATGAGAGTGTCAATGATTGTTTCTTCTGGACAATCTTCACATGTACCATTAAAGCAATCTTCCTTCTCAACCGTGCAAGTCATTCGGAAGATAAGATCTTTTAGATTGAAGTTGCTATCGTTTTCTGAAGAACGTTTATTGATACGTTTTTGACGGTACTTATTCCAAGCCTATCATGAATCAAACATTAATAAAGTAAATCAATATCATCACAATAGATACAAACTTTCAATAGCAGATCCATGTTCTCGTGAATGATACACATACATGTTTCATGTGGTGATGCTATCTTTACTTCACGAGGTCGAAGAGAGTTGAAGGTTGAACGTGCTATCGCTCCAGGATGTCGCTCGTTGAATAGCCAATAAGCATCTAAGACGGTCATTTCCATGAATCGAATTGGCACCGGTTGCTTATTGATTAAAATCGTGTCTTTTGCATTAGATGACATTCGACTTATACCGTCCTCGCAGTAAAATTTAACCACAGAGTCGATTGTTGCATCGGATAATGGCAAATTTCCTCGCAAACACTGTGGATATGCTAGAATTCCCTGGTTATTTTTCAGTGTCAGTGATCGACGAGCTTGATTCTGTCCTGAATTAAACCTAATAAGAGAAAAATCCAAGTAGCAGGTGATCAGATGATTGAGAATGCAGGGAATAAACTCACCATCTTTCAAGCTTTTTTCGACCCCAGTTCTTTGGTGCAATTGTCATCAGACGAACCCGCTCAATGTCATCGCTTTCATCAAATAACTTCTTCAGACCATCCAAAAGCTCGTTTGATTCGCTTATCAACAGGTTGTGTGGACTGGCGTTATGTGTACCCTGAGCTTTTCCTTGTAGCACATCACACAGTCCATGAAGATGTCTGTATATCTCATCGACTTTAGCACGAATGGGAGAAACCGCTATCCTAAAAATAAAAACATTGACAGAAAATCGAGAATTGATGTCACTGATTTACTTGTCATGAATTGGATCTATATTGAATAACCGAAAGACAGTGGACAATTTTTCCATTGCCTCATTTTGACGATATTCGAGATCAAATGAAACATCACCTGGTTCTTCGTCCATTGATTCAGAATCGGTCTCATCGTCGCTATCTTCTGGCGCACCTTCGATTTCTTCGTTAATGCAACCATTGTTTTCTCCTTCCAAATCGTTATCATTTTCATCAGAGGCAGTGTCTTCTGTCATGGAGCCATCGTCATTATCACTTCGATCGGTATCCATATCCATTGTTTGATTATTCATTTCCTTTGATTCCAATGTGTGACATCTGGGACAGAGCCAATGAATACGAGTGTCAATGATGTTATATCGACTCGTTAAAAACATCGATAATTTCGATGAAACTGCTCTTAATCCTTTTGGTTTTGATGTAGACATTGCATGTCTCGTTGGATGTTGACAGCAGTTTCTTGGCATTGTTTCCGTACAAAAGATAATAGCGAAATAATTTTGTTAAACAGTCTGTCCTGTGTAATATCAATGACTCATCTCATTCGTATTGGCTTAAACTTAATCTTTTCGTGCATAGACCTCCGTACCTAAGATGTCCTCCTCATACGACAAACTTGCTATTTGTTAATCTAATTTCTTGCTTTGTTCGAGTGAATAAAGTATCAACATTTGCATTCAAAGTTATAGTCGAAGAATCGTCACAAATGCCGAGGACGAAGATTCTAGTCATCTGATGATCATATTTGACTTGTACAAACAATCTAAGACTATTATCATGGCGCCGTCCAGGTTTATCTCCCAAACGAAAGCAATCCCGCAAAAAGCTATTTGCTAGGACTGATTTTAAGTGTGCTTTAAGATGATCGGAACCTTCATGATCGATAAGGCACTCGAAAGGATCATGCATTCTTCGTCACTTCCGTTGACGACAAACCCTATATATCTCGCTTTCCAAAATATATCCCAGAACTCATGATTCTGCTTACAAATGGTAATTTTTTTCTTTGTCAATATCTGTTTTTAAAGCTTTCATGAGATGCAGCCTAAAAAGTTGGCTT